TTTTGGGCGGTTTCCTTTTGAACTGCTTAATGGAGAAAGATAAAGAGACTGTTTGATTTTGAGTAACCACTTAATATTATCTTCGTTGTCCATCAAACCAGTCCTTATGATGTTTCTTGACAAAACCCTGGTTTCAGCTCCGACTTGATTAACTTGGTCTTTAAAAACCTCCAATGTACCATCAAAAGTAAGATTGTTCATTCTGTCAGATAAAGATGTCCGAGTTTCCAACTGTGTCAGTTTGGACGCATCAAGACGTTTGGGAACTTTCCCGCCATTCACCTAAATCTATTTTTTTTCTTCGAATACGCAGCTTGAATTTCCCACCTAACGGTTTGGGATTTGCGTTACGACGAAGAACATGGACATAGTCTCTCCTCATAGTAATGATAAAATCTATTAAATAGCCGCCATGCTTCGATCTGGGATGAGTCCATGTAAACTTTTTGACGAAAGAAGCTGTTACTGATTGCAAAATCAAACTGTGAACGAAATTCAAGTAGATATAATCCATTGTTGTTCATCTTTCGAGTCGAGAGCCTTTAAGGTCCCATGTTGTTCCCCTACACTTGCATTAAAGTCTCCATGGCCTATCAGTTTCTTTTATAATATCTCCAAGAGCGACCTAAAAAGATATAATGTTTCCTTCCTTAGCCACGAGAGTTGGAGCATAGATTGCAAAGATTGATAAATAACGGTCACCTGCTGAGGGAAAGTGAAGTTTCATTATTCAATCATTGATTCTAAAAGGTTGCTTTATCTTTCCCGCCACAGGTGTTCTTATGACAAACCCATAACTAACATCACGTTTCTCACCTTTTGTTTTGCCAGAGAAGAATACTGATGACACTTCAAAGAGATGATCCTCATCAGACAAGCGTGTTTCTGAGTGAGCATCTTTATCAATGTTCAGGTGCTATAATTCTGGATAAATAATAGTATTCAATAAATAAGAAAAGGGTAAAAGAATAACATTATCGGCAAATGTTGTTAAATACTGTTTGAATGCTAAATGATAGGGAAAGAAATCGACTATACTGAAATAAAAGAAAACCCAAACAAATAAACGTTACGACTCGAAATACTTACAATTTCGAAAACATCTTCTTTCATAAAAAGAGAAATGCTACGCTTCAATATTATAAATAAAGTAGAATTATTGATGCCGATGTATAAGTCATTTAACAAATACGATGTACTAAATGTTCTTAATACAATAATTCACAATGATAATAAACATTCTTAATAAAGTAAACTTGCTAAAAAAGTTTAAAAAAGAAAACAACTATATATTTTAATATTTGTTATATCCCAGGCTGTTTAGATGAACAAAAAAGAATTAAAATAAAAGACAAGTGTATTTTAACACATAATAAAACAACTTTTATTCATTTACTGCTTGAGAAAATCAAGGATTTGTTTAGATTTAAGACAATGTATTCCACGTGCGTGTCAGCTTGTCACTATGTTCAATTCAGAAGTGCCGCGCTCCGACTAGCGGACAAGGGAAGTAACTCAATTGTTATTGACATTTATAGGGGAAGTAAGTTAGCATCCCCTAACAAAATAATATAATAAAAATTATAATAAACAAAGAAAAATATAAGAATAAATGGATAATTAAAATAATCAAGACTTCGCTTTTAAAATACGTCATTTTCTTTGAACAATGAAAAAACACGTCCGGCATCAAGTATTCGAAAAATATATAATAAAAAAATGCATACATACATATAAATTTTTTCATCATAGCATCTTTTCTTGTCGTATATACTCTTGTATAAGTCTAATTCATGTATAGTAGTGACACCACTGATTTTTTGCTGAATATTTTCATATAGCCCGTATATAATGTGACTCATGCTTCTGAGTAATACTAGTGGGCCTACCGTAGTCAAATATTGCAGTACTTGGCATCATTCTCGACATATTTTATAGCAAATAAATTGTCTTCATTCTTCTTAAGGTTAGCCAAGAGGTAATATCACTTACCGTATAGACTCATGTATGAGTCGACTTCGTGCATAGTTCGACACCTGATTTTTGTTCTTTTGTAAAACTTGACTTTTTCATTTAGCTCGTGTATAATGCAACCCCAGCTTCTGAGCAATACTAGTGGGCCTACCGTAGTCAAATATTGCAGTACTCGGCATCATCATGGACATCTTTTATAGCAAATAAATAGTCTTCTTTCTTTTTTATAAAAAGCTCCTCCAAAATGATAAGGAAAAAGCACTTACCATAAAATATCTGATGCAAAGATTTAGATACCGTCCCTTTTGTTTTCGTTCATGCCTGACTACAATAGCACCTTTTCCCCTGGACTTGCCTCCTATGTCTAACTTTTGCCGCTACATGAACAACAAAACCTCATCCACTATGTTTGCCTCTTAAAATCAACAAATATCTTACATAAATGAAGAATTAATTTGCATTCATCTTCGTTTCGCAAAGGTTTACATCGCTGAGGTATTGCAACAGAAAGAAATACTCTAGTCCACAGGAGGCAGACTAAAGGAGCATACCTCTACTGTTAAGGTTAGCCAAAAGTACCGTGGGACTGCAGGCCTACCAAATAGGTTAGGGTCACCGAAAATGGCCTACCAGATTAGGTTAGGGTTACAGAAAATGACCTACCTGGTTGATTACGGTCACCAAAAATGGCCTGCCACGTAGGTCACGGTCACCGAAAATGACCTATCAGGTAGGTGGCATCAATTGTAACCCCTACAGAAAAACTTTTTATAAGGTTTAGTGCAACCTGTTAGCGAAAATGAACGGGTTTTAACCTCTCCGAAAGATTATAGTGTGACTCCCTATTTTTTGCATAAATCTGATCATAAGGACTCACATTATACTCAAGTATACATGATGGAAGTCGACACGTGGCCGAGTAAGACCAACTCCAGAACTTCCAAACTCCCAAACAAATATATCAGGGATAATTTCCATGTTGTTGATGATATCTTAAATAACTCATAAAATCCACTAATGACTTACCGTCAGTTTCACATTGAGTCAAGGCGAATTTTCCGACATTGACCTGTTTATCTGGAGGTTTAGTTTTACGATGCCGAGTGAGTCGACTGGCTGACCTACACACTATGCTACAAATGCTGCACAAAAAGTATTACTGGGTATCATATTGGTAGGCGGGATTGTTTCTGCGTTCACATTTGTAGCTGAGGAGGTCTGCTTTCGAAAAGCAGAGGTGGCCATATTCTTGATACATGAGGTGGGGGCGTCTCTCGGAAAGTTCGTTTCAATTCTGTTGTTCTCGAATTTTTCAACGCCAACAGCAATCAGATTTCTCCACGTCTTCCTGACTGACGCAAGATCTTCAAGGGTGTTAGTATCTACGCTGACCTTTTTAAGAGGGCCCATAAGGTTTTCTTTGAATCGTTTACATGGCTTGCTTTGAGGACGCTTGCCTTGAACTAGCTCAACATACATTCAACATGGTCGTTCTCTAAATGGACAAGGTAATCAGTACATCTAAGTAGACGCTACATGACCATGGATTCAATGATCGTTATTTTAACTACATGTAACACTCTTGTATTCGCCACATGTGATCGTAATGAGATCTTTAATATAACATGTAAGCACCACTGTTGGAAACATTACCTGTAGACTATATTATACATATATACATAATATATTCCATCTTCGACCAGGTGTTTTCATTACTGGGAATTTTTTTTTTCACTTGGAACAGTTTAAGTTTAAATGTCATCCCAAATGAAAATCAATATTAGTAACGACAGTTGGACGCAACTGAGGCATATCCCTAAACGGGGGGTTAATAGTTTGAATGGGAGGCCCTGAATCTTACAAGGAAAGAACCTTTTCTATGGACCGTCATAATAATAATTTACGATAATTGTTTTTTTTATAATTCTAATAATCTTCTCTCTAAATTGATTGTATGCTGTTTTTTACAGACATTAAATTTCGCCTTTGATTTTTGCACAAAGTGTAAAAAATCATTTTTTTCGATTTTTCACCTTCAAGGTTGTAATTTTTTCCAGTGAATTTGAACTGAAAACTGGCACTGAAGAATTATCTCTCAAACAAAACAAAAACAAATTTAATTGAAATCGGATGAAAACTGTGGAAACGCATAAACATCTGCTCACACACACACATACATATACACACATTTTGAGAATTATAGATATAGATTTCTATACATATATACATATATATAAATACTATATTATATATATATATATACTATATTATGCTTATATACATATTTATATATGTAGGTTGTCATAAATAATTTCAGTTTTTGTTTATCAAGTTTATTCTTCAAAAAGTACAAATTTTATTTGCAATGACTTGTTGTCGCTTACCAGGCGGCGCTTCGGTGCCTTTTGAGTCAAATGCTTCAGGTTTTGACATGAAAAAGTTTTCAGCGAATTCTTGAATCTGCTTTCTATCAAAAAAGCGATCCAGGAAAGTCATAATCGGTTGGTGCATGGTCACAAGAATATGACGGAATGGGGGGGGTAGAATAGACCAACCTAGTTCCACAAATTTTTCCATTGCTATTTTTCCTGTGTGCAGTTTTTGATTTTGTCACGGATGAGAGCATTTTCCTACTGACGAGCGCAGGGCGCTTTTCGACGAAACATTTATGGACACGTTGCAGCTGATGGACGTATAAATGTGCATTTAATGTTTCATTGCTTTTAAAACTCTAAATGAATAAAATTGCGATGGTCGCACCACACAAACATTACCTTTCTTCCATGGGACTCAGCTTTCTTTTCTTTTCTGAAAGAAAGAAAGAAAGGAGACAGAACAAAGAGAAAATAGAGAGATGAAAAAAGAGAGAGATCGGATGTATATCTGGAAAGTATCCAGCCATTTTAATATCTCGAGAAACGGTTGCGCGGTCTTGATGCCATTCAGAGCAGTGGGGGAGTGGCCTTATTGCGTATGTGTGAGCATGACCACGATTTTGCCTTGGGGAGAATGAAGTTAATCTTTAAATGTCGAATCTCTTGTTTCAGTTCATCTTTTTCGTTCTCTCTCTCTCTCTCCCTCTCTCTCTCTCTCTCCTCTCTCTCTCTCTCTCTCTCTCTCTCTCTCTCTCTCCCTCCCTTAATATACCATTGGTGAGATGGAAGTTCCACTCGAGCAGCTTCTTCCCACGAAGCGCTGCTTTGTTCAATTCTAGGGCCAACCGTTATCTTCCCCACATATCCATATAAACTTTTCCTTTTACTCTAACCTTCTACTTCGAGTGGCTCTTTGGCCTCGTATAAGGAAAACTTCATTGTAAAAAAATTTAAAGCAAGAAAATATTTTTAGATTGTAAAAATATCTTAAGATAATAAGGATTTACTGATACAAGTTCTACTAATTAACCCATAGCTGAGGGAGAAGAGGTGGATTTCTACTTTTCTCAAAGGGGATTTAGGCAGAAATCAATATAACGAACTCGACTGGAACTCTGCTCTACGATTTCCAATTCCGAGCCGTTAGCCATTACACCACCGAACATCCAAGCTTACAGTACTCGGTCTTCCCAGGCGGTCACCCTTCTAGGGACTGACCAGGCTCGATGTTGCTTAACTTCGGTGATCGGACAAGATCTGGTGTTTCCACATGTTATGACCGTAAGCCAGAAAGTATAAAAAGGAATACACAAAAACAATTACGCCCGATTAAAAACAAAATGTTTTATTGCCTAAACAGAATGAATAGAAAAAGAGGCGAATAAATAGAAAAATAGGCAAAGGAATAGTGTATGTAGATGTAAAGAGGGGAAACGAGACACGTCTTGTCTCTACGCCATTTTGTGTCTAGAAGAGAATAAAAAGCGTTAGATTTTACACCCATTCGCCAACGCTGTCTCTTGATCTTTAGCACAAGTACCATGGCAGACAATAACGTCCTGTCATCACCGAGCAGACCGTGAATATACGTCTGTGGCAATAAATAGATGTTTTTTTTAAGTTCTTGCCTTGAACGCCTATTGGGTCTTAAGCACGTGGAACTCGCACACATGAACTATCGGTAAAGATACTAAACAGACAGTTCCCTGTACATCCCCACCTGACTTTTCCTGCGATGCTATGCATTTACAAGAACCAGGTCAGATCAAAAATGGATTAGTTTTTGTCATTTCTGAACTGGAGCTGCCCTGTCTTCATTTTCCAGTCTTAAAGTACAAAACCGTTTACAGAGCCTTATGGGTAACGAATTACCCCCCACACACACACACACACACACACACACACATAACCCCCTTTTTACGACAGACGAAACGTTGCGAGCCACTCTATCGCTACTTCCAAGGAAAATCTTCAAACGAGCTACACTCGTTAATTCCACCAACCCTAACCGTAACCTTGCTCGAGCCCGCCACGCCACGTACACTGAGGCGAACCACCTTCGCATTCCATTGGTGCGAACTACGTTCCACTCGAACAGCTTCTTCCTACGAACCACTACTTCGTGGGTCCGACTCCCAAGAGGATGCTTTCCCGAATTCTATGTTTAACATGTTGAAGTATGGAGCCTACCGTTATCTTTTCCATATAAACTGTGCCTTTTACTGTTACTGTTACTCTTATCACTGACACAAAAAATTCTCTACCACGAGTGGCTCTTGGGTCTTGTATATGGTGAAAATTAGTAAAAAAAAAAAAGGGCAAGTTGAGTAACAGCATCGGGTTTTTCAAGAAAAATAAAATTTGGATCGCAAAAAGCATATATAGTTTTAAAAAGCAAATATAAAACCCCTTTTTAATGCAAATTCACAGCCTATTGTAATGACTGATATCTTTGTTTCTTTCTGTTCGAGTTATAACGCTTAGAAACAACTTACGTTACGCGATCTCACAGAAAACTCTTAATAATCATTCAAAACTATTCTAGATGATTCACAAGTTTGAGTTGCTATAGTGATAGAAAAATCAATAAATAAAAATTGAATAAATAAATAATAACATGCAGACCCAAATTTCACCATTTCTAAAAATAGATGTATATGCAGAAACGCCAGAACAGAAAGCCATATTTCGACCAACCAATCAGAAAGCTTTCACAACTAAGATATAAGACTGTGAGCCAACGAGAATGAAATCGGAACTTTCGAAGCGAATGTCTAGGAATGTATATAATGAAATGGAAAATCAACCCAAACCAGAATTGATAAATAATTTTGGTTATTCTCTTATTCTCCGATGCTACGTTCATAACCAGAGTCAAGATGCCACCAGATGATTACCTGAGACGGCTACGCGCTTCTGTAACAGTTGAAAACATATACTGTTTCTTCCTCCACCAAATGTAGCAGCCAACTGCAACATTTTTAAACATACATACCTTCCTTCACCCACATTAAGTAGGCAGCTACTATAATTGGATACATACATATGTATACATATATATTTACTTTCTCCTGGACTCTTTCCCTCCATCTCTAGTATGTGCCAGAACCTTTTACATTTGAACTCTTGAAACTTCTACTTTTACCTTATCCTTCTATATTATTATATTGTGATTGCACAAGTCCAATACCAAAATCAAATATACCTCATATGGTGGGGTGGACGTTATTGTAAGATAACCTTTCACAAATCTATTATCATCTGAGTAACGTTCTTTAAAAGCGACAATCCCTGAGTCTTCTCCGGCCATGCTAAAGATCAGGTGCGGCTGATTTGATGTCAGCACAGGCAACAGTGACACTGGATCAATCTGAGGCTGAATCTCGTTCTTGAAAGTCGAATCTTTGCCTTCCTCTGCCTACCTTGATCTCGCTGTTGGTCCGCCTGGCATCCGATATCGCCTGCTATTTTACAAACGTCTCGTTCGTTGGTTGCCGTCGTCGTCGTCGTTGTTGGTGTTGTTGGTGTTGTTGTTGTCACGTGACTTTGTTGTCTCCCAATCGCTGACCTCTATTGTTACAGGTGCTCAGGAATGAAAGCGCACAGCGAGCGAGTCACGTGATTACCACGTGTCGGATTCCGAAACCGGACGCCGTCGAACTTGGATTCCTGGAGACGATTCTTATTCTGAGACAAAGTAAGGGTATTTCTTTCTTTCTTTCTTTCTTTCTTTCTTTCTTTCTTTCTTTCTTTTGTTTGTCACTTTTCTTTCTTTCTTTGTTGGTTTCTTCATTTTTTTCTTTCTTTCTTTACTTCTTTTCTTACTTTTTCTTCGTTTGTTTGTTTGTTTGTTTGTTTGTTTCTTTCTTTCTTTCTTTCTTTCTCCCTCCATCTTTCTTTCTTACTTTTCCCCTTCCATTTCTCTTTCTTTCTTTCATTCTTTCTTTCATTCTTTCTTTCTTTCTTCTCTATTTTTCCTTTCTTTTTTTTATCCCTACCTTACTTTCTTCTTTTTTTTTTATTTTCACCTTTCTCTTCGCCTGCACACTTATTTTCATTCGTCTTCTTCTTCGTCTTATCTCCATTTCTCTTCTTCTTCTTCTTCTTCTTCTTCTTCTTCTTCTTCTTCTTCTTCTCTTCACCTTTTCCTTTTCTCTTTTCTTCTCCTCCTCTTCTTTCATTTCCACCCCTTCTTCTCCCTATTCTACATTTTCTTGTTACAACAACAGAAGCTGAAAATATATTAATTATTTAAAAAAAAGTTGGTATTCAATTTGTAATTGTCGAACTCTTGCTGGGTCGAACAATTCAATATGAGAATCCGTGTTTGGTGAAGGTCACAGGATCATACACCCACCAGAAATAAGAAAATGGTGAACAATTTTAAGCATATATGTATATATCACTTAGAATTAGAAATAATACAAGCAAAATTGTCACTTAGCTGATTGATGTTACCTTCAACATCGTGACTCCAGAGTTTTGCAAACGGGCGCTCCTAGACTCACTCCATCCACTCGTCAGGGGCTTTCAGCAATTGATTGCTTATGCTTCTCGATTTTTCTTTTTTTATATGTAATTTTCATTGATGCAAGTTTTTTTTTTCATACAAAATTCTGGTTGAACACTTCCCTATCCGACCCCATATATATAGCAAATTTTAAACAATTTATATATTATTTCCTATAACTATAAAATTTATATTTAATGGTGGATGGGTTTTCCGCTACTCAAACACACACGCACAAACATGTATATATATATATATATATAGTATACTGGGACAGCAGATCATTATTCAAGCATGTTTGAATATTTATATAATTAAGTAATACATCAAGTCTAGAAGAAACGTCAACAGAATGCAGAAAGCACTGGACGGCCGTTTCGTCCTATATTTGGGACTAATCAGCAATGCGCATCCACTACCGAGAATTGAAACCCGGACAGTTACGTTATCAGGCAAACGTCATACCAGTTGTACCAACGATCCTCGGTGACGAAGCGGTAACGAATTAGAATCGATATAGCGATCACAAATTCCGTGGTGGAATTCATCCGAGTTTTCCTTACCCATAGGACTGTGCCCCCCCCCCCCCACGAGCCACAACTACTATCCCCAAGCCGCTCCATTCAGTTCAAGCAAGGATATACAAGTGATAGAAATTATTAGGAGGATTTGAGATAATTATAATTAAGTAATTCATCGAGTCTAGAAGAAAACTCAACAGAATGCAAAAAGAACTGGACGGCAATTTCGCCCTATATATATATATATATATATATATATATTTAAGTTACGAAGAACTTGGTAAACCGAATGGGTAATTCCAAGGAGGATGAAATCCTGAGAGCTCAATGTGAATACAGAGCTAATATTTAATGAAAAAACAGACCACTTTAAGGTACCATTACAATAATTTATTTCACCAAAATCATTTTTAAAGGACTCCGGATCATCAGGTAACAATTCCAACAACGAAATGAAGTGACAAATCATAATTATATATATATATATATATATATATATATATATATATATATATTTCAATAAAAGTGCAATTAATTTACAAATTCATGTATTATTCATACAAAAAACAAATACAAAGGTTAATGATTTAATTGGCAAGAAATCCATCGTCGCGAACAATTCAAATAATTCAAGTAGGAACAGACGAAAGCTTGTAGTAAAAATAAGAACTAATGCAACAGAAATTTATAAAGCAAGGATCTTTTCATTCATAACAGGTTAGGGGGTTTTCGTATATTATTTGAATTGTTTGCGACGATGGATTTCTCGCCAATTAAATCATTAACCTTTGTATTTGTTTTTGTATGAATAATTCATGAATTTGTAAATTGATTGCACCTTTATTGAAATTAAAATAACTGATCCAAGTGCAACTTTTGGATAATAAGTGCGACATTACTGTAATTATTGAACAATATAGTTCATGCCACTTTGACAGAAAATTTACCAGTAAAAAAGAATTCGCTTATCACCATATTTGTACAAGAACGCACAATTGTAAAATTTAAAATCAAACTCAGCGTTGCTACTGCACGCTCCAAAAACAATAACTCATTTCTAATAGCATTTTTCGGATACAACAATACATATATTTTCGTTGTCCTCTTATTACTAAGAGAAAAAACAAGAACAACATCTATTCTATACCTGAAGATGTCTGTAGGAACAGACGAAAGCTTGTAGTAAAAATAAGAACTAATGCAACAGAAATTTATAAAAACAAGGATCTTTTCATTCATAAACAGGTTCGGGGTTTTTGTATATTATTTGAATTGTTTGCGACGATGGATTTCTCGCCAATTAAATCATTAACCTTTGTATTTGTTTTTTGTATGAATAATTCATGAATATATATATACATATATATTAAAGAGAGAGAGAACTAATACTAATGTAAATGTTGTCACTTAGCTGAATAGTGTTACAATCCGCATTCCGAAGCTAGTGTTCGAGTGCCAGTATGTATATAGAAAAAGGCAAAGAGATGGGAATAAAAGATGTAATGGCCGCAAGCCAATATTTCCCAAAACCTGTTCTTATTCCTGCATCCAAATATAAGCTTCAATCCTCACTGGGTGCCCTATACTTTCGGCCTTGTGCCATATCTAAGCTACTCTTAGGAAATCATAGGCATACTTCGCAGTGGTCTAATAGTTAGCAAGTTTGTCTCGCTAGATCAATTACGTGTGTAATCAATTGTGTGTGTGTGTGTGTGTGTGTGTGTGTGTGTGTGTGTGTGTGTGTGTGTGTGTGTGTGTGTGTGTGTGTTAAGTGCCCGGGGGTATTTGGTTCCATCTGGTTATGCACAGAAAGATGAACATATCCATCCTAGAAGAACTAGCGTTGCAACCGGAAGCCGTTCTCTCGGAATAAAAAGCGAGACAATCTTTACGTTCTTTACGAATTCAACATTGCGAAAAAAAAAAAAAAAGAAAATACCATTTCAGTGGAAGGAAATCATCGAGGAACGCGGGTTTTGCTTCATCTGTTTCGTTAAACGTTAAATTCTGACAAGTAGAATTGGCGCCCAACTTAAATGCCGACACTTAAAAAAAAGCAAAAACAGTTTACGACTCACTAAATTCTGTTGGCATCTGAAAACACATACCAATCTGAAAGTTGCTTTCCGCATCTATAAACTTTCTTGGATACACAATGCAACCTCTTCATTGGTTTGCAGGCGCAAACTCTAACATCAGCAACATGAACACATGCAAATGACAAGTGTAAGAAAAGCAATGAATTTCAACAAAGGCGATATTTTATGTTTGAAGTCAAAAGAGGGAATAAAATTGTAACGCTATTTCTCAGTGTGCTCACGTTTCTACCGAATGTGACACAAGGTCAAGGTCTAAAGTGGGTTTAACGGCAATAAGGTGCAAAAATTACCCAAGCTCCTTCGGCACTTTCCTTTTTGGGTATGCTTCAGGTGCCTGGCAATAAACCCAGCCCTCTCCCGAAGGAGAGGTATTTTCGTGGGAGAAGAACCCCCACCGGGGAGGCTTGGTCTAAATGCATACAAAATAAAGAAGATATTACGAGTTAGAAATTATATGGGAGATACACGTGTGTGTGTGTGTGTGTGTGTGTGTGTGTGTGTGTGTGTGTGTGTGTGTGTGAGAAAAAGTTCACTTACTAAGAGGAAAGATATATCCACGGCCCCGAAGGTCCTGGTTGGCACTGTCACTCAGTAATGTTCCAGGAAAAAAGAGAAAGAGAGAATGAAGACAGGAAGTGTCTCGTTTTTATATCAGCTTGACAGCGCCCTCTAACGATTTCTTGGCAAACCTCTTAATTGCTTTTGTTCCCAGGTCCACCCTAACCCTGGGTGGTAGCACCTGTTAGGGTCCCAGCTATAGGTAAATAGTGAATCTCCAAACAAAAACAAAACATTATGAAAGTATAAAAATACATTTTTATAGTAAAAATTATTTTTATATAAAAATTACCAAGAATACCTATTTATAGTAAAATGACCAATAATTTTATCTGTGATTGAAGGCATTAATTGCCTTCAAAATATATTTAGTTGAAGCCATAAAATTGTGTTCAAAATGTTTAGATTTTGGCATTAAATAACCCATGCAGGTGTTGATATGTCGCTAAACAAATTCAACAAAATTCTAACAAACTTGTTGGCAAAAACAGACAACACTATTGAGTTTTAAGTTAACTTAATTATGGTTTTTAATGAAAAAAAACTTTTATGAAAGAAATTTTGGTAAAAATTCAGAATAACGCGGCGATCACATATTTTATATCCATTTATGATTGAAATTATTTACAAAATATTCTGTTAATTTTTTGGGTCGTGAAAAGTCAGTAGAATTTTATCTGTAGATTCTGTGACTTTTGGGCTGTGAAAAAATTGTTGGAATTTTTTTTTAAATTATTTTCAGTTATTTAATTACTAATTTGTTTATATGTTTTTTTAATATTTTAAATTTCTGTACAGTTTTGAGTTGCTGTCCTTGAAGAATTCTAACAATTATTACCAAGAAAATCCTAATAGAGGAGTTTGTTACCACAATTAAAACCTTCGAAGAAATCGACGACCCATTTTAATGATTTTGTATGCGCGAGCGACGGGGTGTTATTCTGAATTTTTTCGTGGTTATTTTTTAAACCTTTCTGAATATTCTTTTTATATCGATATGTTTCCTATTTCAGTGCGTCAACTGAAGTTATGGGAAAGAGACAAGGTGGAAAATTACTTGCAGCAGGTTTATATTGCATTGTCTACCTACATCGGCCATTGCGGTTATGGACATAATTCAGCTTCACGTTTCAGCCATTTATTACTGTCTCTTCATCAATTGCAGCTTCCCGAACAACTGGTCAATTCTTACTTTTTCGGAGGAAGAGTAGACAAAATTCGCCATTTGATGAAGGTCGTTTGACAGCAAAAATCAATTCGTCCATTACGTGAAAACTTTCATATTCGACGACGTTTCAAAAAATGTGTACAAAAGGCGTGTACTGCTAAATGCAAAAGCACTTTTATGTTTGCCTAATAAATGGTACGACCAAGAAATTGTCTGTTGGTCTGTCTGTCTGTCTCTTTCTCTTTTTCTATATTTGTCTCTTTCTCTTCTATCTCTCTCTCACTCTTTTTCCTTTTCTCTGTCTCTATATCTCTTTTCTTTTCTCTGTCTCTCTCTCCCTCTCCCTGCTTTTTATTCTATATATATCTCTTCTTTCATCC